GTTGGATGAGTGACCGTTTTTTGTTTTTGTTTTTTTTTCCCCCTAGGGCACTCCAGCTTTTGAATGTGTGGCCGTCCCCATCTGGTGTCCCTGGGTAGCTCAACACTAAATATCTCCTTGCCCATGGTGTGATGAGGCTACACGACCATCCCAGGTAGATGCAGCCACACTCAGCTCTGCAGAAGAAGAAATACCCAATGTCATGGCCCCAGAACCACCTGAGGCCACATGGCTACTGCCCACCCGCTGAGGCCTGCCACAGAAAAGCCCAGTGAGATGAGGCCAGCGCTGTGCGCAGGCAGGGCAGTAGAGACAGACCCTCCACCCGTGCTGCATGCCATGGGCCTTCACCAAGGCCTAGTGTGGGGAGAAGTGTAACCTCAAAGCCCTCTCTATCCTCCCCACTACTGAGACAGCTATAGATGTGAGGAGAGAACCGTGACACCAACACCTATTCAGGGAAACACTCATTCACCTCGAGCATGTTCTCTTTTACCTTGGGGTCCTCCCTCGATATACAGCTGTGGGGGGCCTGCTCTTCCCTCAGCACCCTCTGGCTTGGCCACCTCTCCTGAATGCCACTCACAGAGACCTGAGGACTCAGAGGCTGCCCCTAAAAGTGCCCTAGGAGAGGGGAGCAAGTTACCAGTCACTTGTACTTTGGTTTCTTCAGCTGTCAAATGGGGTTAATAACAACAGTTCTATCACAGGGCTATTGAGGGGATGAAATGAGCAAAATACATAGACTAGCACCTGATGCATAGTAAGGATTCAATAAATGTTATGTTACACAATTATAGAGCCATTTATTTATTTATTTATTTGAGATGGAGTGCTGCGGCATCACAGCAACCTCCAACTCTTGGGCTTAGGCGATTCTCTCTTGCCTCAGTCTCCCAAGTACCTGGGAGCACAGGCACCCGCCACAAGGCCTGGCTAAAGGGTGCTAAAATATTTCTATGCATACTCTTACTTTTAAAAAAATATTAACGGGGCCAACTGAGGTGGTTCATACCTGTCATCTTAGCACTCTGGGAAGCCGAGGTGGGTGGATTGCCTGAGTTCAAGGTTCAAGACCAGCCTAACTAGATCGAGACCCGTCTCAAAAAAGTAGCTGGGTGTCGTGGCAGACACCTAGAATCCCAGCTATTTGGGAGGCTGTGGCAAGAGGATTGCCTAAGCCCAAGAGTTTGAAGTTGCGGTGAGCTATAGATGCCACAGCACTCTACTGAGGGTGACTGTCTCAAAATAAATAAA